GGTCCCTCTGGCGAGAGCAGACTGGGGCACCCCAGGGTGGCCTGGGGGTGGTGTGGGGTCGTGGAGCCTCTTGCTGGCGGGGCTGGGTCCCTGGACAGCCTTTCCCTGTGGGGATGCGGCCGGGCCGTCTGCCGCTCCCCACTATGCTTGTGAGTGGCCTCGCTCCGGGTGTCTGAAGGTTCCGGCCACCGCCTGCTACAGCAGCCCAGGGTCTCCAGCCTCGGTACTCAGTTCCCAGGTGGGTGGCCAACAGGCTGGAGGCTTCTCCTCAGGCCAGGGGCAACCAGATGGGTCAGACACTGGTTCTGTTTTCTTGCTACCCCTGGAGCACCTGGGCCCGGCCAGGCAGGGGACAGGGTGGACCTTCGCTGGTTTGGGCTCTGCACCATCCGCACCTGCCGGCCTGGCCCCCCGGGAGCAGCTGGGGACGGGCCCCCTTGGGGCCTGTGTGTGTGATGACCTCAGGGGGTGTCGGCCTTTTGTCAAAGGTTCTCAAAGTCTAGACCAGCCCAGTTTGCTCAGGGGGCCTCATCTGAGGGTCCCAGCCCTGTGACTGTCTGCCCTTGAGTCTGGCCTGGACCAGAGATAGGTTCTGAGCCTCAGTTTCCAGCCTCCCAGCACCCACCCACACGAGGCCCCTCAGAACAGGAGGGTGCTGCGCCCTCTTTCTGGCCACCGGCCGCCACAGCCCGTGTGGGGCATTCTCTTGGGCCGGCCTCGCTTCCGCTTGTCCAGGCTGGAGGAAGGCAGGAAGCCTCTGTGCTCAGCCGTGGGCCGCTGTCCCTCCCGCAAGCGGCCTTCAGACCCCACCCCAGGCTCCTTCAGGGACTCAGGGCACCTCCTGTTAGGCACAGCCCACTTCAGAGGCTCAGGAGGAGGTGACCTGCAGTGTCGGGGAACTTTGCTCATCTCATCTGGGGCCTCCCAGTGGGGCATTTTCCACGGGCACCCCCCTGCGGATCCCTCCCCGCCAGCTTCTGAGAGCAGGGCCCACACCCTGGAGGATGAGAAAGGAAATCACGGCCGCCCTTGGAGCAG